CAGATGAGGAAACTGAGGCACAGAGATGTGACCACTTGCCCAACATCACCCACAGCCAGTAGGTGGCAGAGGGGATTCTAACTCAGACCATTGAGACTCACGGCCCACGGTCTTTCGTGGAGGGCTGCACGCAGGATTGGGGGAGGCCAAGGCAGGCGGATGGGTTCAGGCCAGGAGTTTGAAAGTGTCTGGGCAGGCAACAGAGTGAGATCTCATCTCTACAAAAAATTGCAACATTAAGCCGGATGCAGTGGCTCACGCCTGTAATCCCAGCACTTTGGGAGGCTGAGGTGGATGGATCACGAGGTCAGAAGTTCAAGACCAGACTGGCCAACATGGTGAAACCCCATCTCTACTAAAAAATACAAAAATTAGCTGGGCATGGTGGCTCATGCCTGTAATCCCAGCTACTGGGGAGGCTGAGGTAGGAGAATTGCTTGAACTGGGGACCTGGGAGGCTGAGGTTGCAGTGAACTGAGATCGTGCCACTGCACTCCAGCCTGGGCTACAGAGCAAGACTCCATCTCAAAAAAAAAAAAAAAAAAGGCAGTCCTTGACCCACCCACAAACTTCTTCTCTGCCCACAAAGGTTTTGTGTTGTTTTGTGGGTGGGAGGTTGGTTTTTATTTTTGAGACGGAGTCTCACTGTCACCAGGCTGCAGTGCAGTGGCGTGATCTCGGCTCACTGCAACCTCTGCCTCCTAGGCTCAAGTGATTCTCCTGCCTCAGCTTCCTGAGTAGCTGGGATTACGGGCATGCACCACCACGCCCAGATAATTTTTTGTATTTTTAGTAGAGATGGGTTTTACCATGTTGGCCAAGCTGGTGTTTTGTTTTTGAGACAGGGTCTCGCTCTGTTGCCCAAGCTGGAGTGCAATGGTGCAGTCACAGCCCACTGCAGCCTTAAACCCTCACAGGTTTAAGTGTTCCTCCCACCTCGGCCTCCCAGTTAGGTTTTGGCATGTTGCCCTGCCTGGTCTGGGACTTTTGAGCTCAGGCAATCTGCCCACCTGGGCCTTCCGTAATACTGGGATTACAAGTGTGAGCCACCACGCCCAGCTGTGGGGAGGATCTTCACTAGTGACAGTGCTTATAGCCAAAAAAAAGATTCTTGGCCTCTCCCGGTCTTTTCCACCTCCAGCCACCCAGCCAGATTCCCACTGTCCTTCACACTCATTTTCTTCTCAAAAGAACATTCGAGGCCGGGCCTAGTGGCTCATGCCTGTAATTCCAGCACTTTGGGAGGCCAAGGCAGGCAGATCACCTGAGGTTGGGAGTTCAAGACCAGCTTGGCCCACATGGTGAAACCCCATCGCTACCAAAAAATACAAAACATATGAGTCAGGCATGGTGGCACACACCTGTAATCCCACCTACTCAGGAGGCTGAGGCACAAGAATCACTTGACCCCGGGAGGCTGTGGTGTCAGTGAGTGGAGATTGCCCTACTGCACTCTAGCGTAGGTGACAGAGTAGGCCTCTGTCTCAGAAAAAAGAGAGAAAAAGAGAGAGAAAAGAACATTTGCTGAGCACGGTGCACAGTGGCTCACACCTGTAATCCCAGCACATTGGGAGGCTGAGGCAGGTAGACCACCTGAGGTTGGGAGTTCGAGACCAGCCTGGCCAACATGGTGAAACCCCATCTCTATTAAAAATACAAAAAAAATTAGCCAGGCATGGTGGCAGGCACCTGTAATCCCAGCTACTCAGGAGACTGGGGCACGAGAATCTACTTGAACCCGAGAGGCGGAGGTTGCAGTGAGCCGAGATCGCGCCACCACATTCCATCCTGGGCTACAGAGTGAGACGTTGTCTCCAAAAAAAGGAAGAAGCCAAAAAGAACATTCCAGTACATCTGACCTCCTGGTATCTGCCCTGCAATGGGCAGTCTGGACACTGATCGGTGAATGAGAGGTGAGAGGGACAGGCAGGACCATGAGCTCACAGAAGTCTAGACCCTTCCCACCTTCATCACTGTCTGGCACAGAGGAAATACTGACAAGAATTAGTTATACAAGTGATAATAGCTAACACTTATTAGGCACTTACTGTATGTCCAATACTGCACTAAACGACTTCCAGCGTGATCTCATTTAATACGTGTCTAAAGAGCAGCATTTCTTTTTTTTTTTTTTTTTGAGACGGAGTTTCGCTCTTGTTACCCAGGCTGGAGTGCAATGGCGCGATCTCGGCTCACCGCAACCTCCGCCTCCTGGGTTCAGGCAATTCTCCTGCCTCAGCCTCCTGAGTAGCTGGGATTATAGGCATGCGCCACCATGGCCAGCTGATTTTTTGTATTTTTGGTAGAGACGGGGTTTCACCATGTTGACCAGGATGGTCTCGATCTCTTGACCTGGTGATCCACCCGCCTCGGCCTCCCAAAGTGCTGGGATTACAGGCTTGAGCCACCGCGCCCGGCCAACTTCATAATTTTTCAAAATTATATTTTGTTTTGTTTCGTTTTTTTTGAGACAGAGTCTCACTCAGCCACCCAGGCTGGAGGGCAGTGGCACAATCTCGGCTCACTGCAACCACTGTCTTTCAGGCTGAAGCAATTCTTCCGTCTCAGCCTCCTGAGTAGCTGGGATTACAGGCACCCGTCAGCATGTCTGGCTAATTTTTGTATTTTAGTAGAGACGGGGTTTCACCATGTTGACCAGGCTGGTCTTGAACTCCTGACCTCAGGTGATCTGCCTGCCTCGGCCTCCCAAAGTGCTAGGATTACAGGCATGAGCCACCGCACCTGGCCTCAAAATTATATTTTGTAGTTGATTTTGTTTTTTGAGACAGAGTCTTGCTCAGTCACCCAGGTTGGAGTGCAGTGGCATGATCTCTGCTCATTGCAGTCTCTGCCTCCCGAGTTCAAGCGATTCTCCTGCCTCAGCCTCCTGAGTAGCTGGGACTACTGGCGTGTGCCACCAACTTTTGGCTAGCTTTTATATTTTTAGTAGAGACCAGGCTTCACCATGTTAGCCAGGCTGGTGTCAAACTCCTGACCTCAAGTGATCCACCCACCCCCGGCCTCCCAAAGTGCTGGGATTACAGCCATAAGCCACCGCATCAGGCCTGCCGTTTTCTTAAAACTCTGGTCAAAGCAGTCATGCATGTCTATAAACCCAGCTACTAGGGAGGCTGAGGTGGGAGGATCGATTGAGCCCAGGAGTTTGAAACCAGCCTGGGCAACACAGCCAGATTCTGTCTTAATTAAAACAACAAAATGTCTTGTCTAGGGCCAGTGAAGTTTCAGGTAGTAATTGCTGTAGTATAAAATTGTGTACTTTTGGCCGGGCGCGGTGGCTCACGCCTGTAATCCCAGCACTTTGGGAGGCCGAGGCGGGTGGATCACAAGGTCAAGAGATCGAGACCATCCTGG